GTTTTTGTATTATTTATTGGAGAAAGGGGTTTTGGGGGGGGGGGGCGCGCAACCCCCGGGGGGGGGGGGGCGAGAGAGAGAAAGGGGACATCACTGTTACGACAGAACTGCTTCTGGCGGTTGGTTTTCGTCAATTATCCAGTGCCCCCCTCCCTCTCCCCCGGTCTAAAATATGGAGTCCAGGGTAAACTGAACTCCGGCAGCATTTGAAATATTTCCAGGTCAGCCCCCGGTGTCTGATAAAGGGGGGCTGTGGAAACCGTAACAGGAAACGTCTCCCGAGAGAACGGTGTCACCTGTAACACGATCTATGGTAGAAATACCAGTAGGCGGTTCTCAAAATTATTCTTTCTTCGGTGTCATTGAGATTTCTTTTCCTAGGTGAGCTAAGCTAAAAATCTTTTTACTCCAGAGGAAAAAAAATATTTAGAATGTTAACACCATTTATATGTACTTCGTCCTTTAATATATTTTTTTTTTGGGGGGGGGGGAATTTTAAATGGATATATCGAATCATATATCCGGTCATTAGGAAGAAGTTCTAAAGGATATATATGTTTATATATTTTCATGTATATGTATATATATTTTAATTTATAATTTTATATGTATCGCTTATATATATTTTGCTTGCGGTGTGGACTGCTTCCGATTCCGGGTAGAGCGCAGGCGATTTTTACCGATAACTACGCTAAATGATTTTTGTTTTAATAGCGCAACTGCGTTTGGTGCGTAGTATTTAATTTTATTTTCGGAAAATGAAATCGTCCCCATTGAAATATGGTGTAGTTAATATTTGGTTTAAAAAGAGGTTGGGTCGCCAGAATATTTAATATAGTTCAATGGAGGGAAAAAAGAAGTGCGCAGTGACGTATCATAAGGGGAAATGTGTGTAGCAAAAATTGCTGCTCTTAAATGTGCGTTGCTTGAGCTCATGTCTTGTCACGTGACTTAAGTAGATGGGAAGTTCACGCATTGCTGCCGCCAATGTTGTGGCGAGCTACAACTGGTCGTTATATATATATATATATATATATATATTTATGTATATATCAAAAGGCGATTATTTATGTGCCGTATTTTTTTCTTTTTTTTTTGTAACATAATAAATGATCTGTTTATATCTCAGAGATTTCCTACTACACCGCCACAACACATGGGGGTGACACTCGAATATGAAAATTGACGTCATTGAACACAGACTTGGCAATGGCTGCTCAAACATGCATGGAATTCTCAGCAAACCATAGAAGGATAAATCAGACAAACAAACAAAACGAACTTTTTTTTTTTTTTAAAAAGGTGTAGTTTATTAAAAAAAAATTCTGCGCGGGGGAAAGGCCTTTGTGATATCATTTTATTTTTTCTTAGACGAAGAGCAGCAAGAGAGAGGAATGTGTTTGTTAGTGTTATGACAACAGTTGGGATTTGTCTTCTTCAAAATTGTATTATAATCGTAATAATAGTAATATACATACATAAATAATATAACATTAAATGCAAAATACAAATAACAGATTTTTAAAAAAAAGAAAAAAATTTAAAATGTAACTGTGTTCCATCCTCATAGCCTCTAATTATTAAATCCTTTACATTAACTTCACTTTTTTAAGTGTATTTGTGTTAAGGAAAAAAAAAAATAAAAAAATAAAATTCAGACGACTCATTGACCCACTTCCCGTCAACCTATCGAGCTCAAACTTAGAACATGGACTCGTTGTCGATGACAACGCATTCCATCAAATTTTTTAGCCCCCCCCCCACCCCCAATCTCCAAAACCAGTTTTAAATCTTCCAATCGCCATTGACTTCGCGAAATTTAAAAGTCCTGATAACTTCACTAAATAAGATTCATAAATATATAGCAAGTGCGTTTGGTGCGTACTATATTCTTTTGCTTTCCAGAAAACTATGGTGTAATAAATCTGCGGTGTAAAAGTGGGGTGGGACGTTAGAACAACGGTACTCATATAGTTCAGGGGCTTGAAAAAATATGTGGTTGCGAGCCTTGGGGGAGGTGGGGGGGGGAGCTGAGCACATATTGGGATTCTTATAAAGTTGGTTACTAGTATCCATATCCGAATTTCAGCCCCACCCCAATGCTCGATATTACATTTTGTAATAAAGGATTTATACGAAAACCTGTGTTGTTAGGGGTGGTTTAATTAGCATGTGTTTAATTAGCATGTGTTTAATTTTTTACCAATAAAAATCTTCGAGCCTTAAATGCAAAAAAAAAAAAATTGCCAAGTGTTTATACATGAAATTTCGTAAGAGCAAAGACTTCATTATGTGTGCTAAGTAAACATGCCATACATAACTTGTTGGTTAGTGAACCATATAACACTCTATTATAGTCACATTCGCTCAAAAACACGCCTCTATGGTCTAACAGTAGCACGTTACATCACATTCATACCACTTTATGGTCTAACAGGAGCACGTTACATCACATTCATACCACTTTATGGTCTAACAGGAGCACGTTACATCACATTCATACCACTTTATAGTCTAACAGTAGCACGTTACATCACATTCATACCACTTTATGGTCTAACAGTCATACGTTCAAACACCTTCACACCACTCTACGGTCTAACAGTCATACGTTCAAACACCTTCACACCACTCTATGGTCTAACAGTCATACGTTCCATCACCTTCATACCACTCTATGTTCAAACAGTCATACGCGCCATCACCTTCATACCACTCTATTTTCAAACAGTCACCTACATCTTGACACCTTATTTACTATAAAGCTGACTTGTTTCAATTCAATACGCAGTGATCTGATCTCCAGGCCTCCAGTAGCCTTACTCCAGCACTCATCTGCTGGACCTCCTCCAACACTGATAATTAAATGATATATGACAGCCACGAGCTTATCAAAATCAAGCTAATTGAAACGGGAAATTGAAATGTGGGTCAAAAATGTGGGTCAGATGTGGACGGTGTTAGTGAACACACAAAACAACAACAACAACAAAGGAGTTCTTCAACACAGCTGTTCTATTTTAATGAACGATGAGAATGTAGCTTTGCAAGAACTAACCACACGTGCTAAAGATATCGTCTTGGCACCACACCTATTGAGCGGTGCTCGACTTTTTCGATAACAGCTTGACCAGCATCTCGTACATTTTACTGGTGTCCCTGACCAAGGTGGCCTGAATGAAGAGGGACATCCCGGGGCAACCGATCACGAAGCAGTATTCTTCACTGCGGTACTCCTTCACGCCAAATGTCTTGCTGAACATCAAAGTCTCCATGCCGAAATCTCTGTTTAGATACAACAATTTATCCTCGCACAGCACCAAGAAAGTCTGGCGCCACTCGTCGAAAAGCGACTCCTTCATGTGAGCCACCCCGGAAAAATGCAGACTGGCCAATTCTTGATTGTCCAGTGCTCCGACGGGAGCCATCACCTTTGTGATGGCGTGGAGCCATTTGCAAGCCTCTTCTTTACTCTCGCTCGAAAACACAAAGTTCCTGTTCTCCTTCGTCTTCGTGCTGAGCTCAAAATAGTGAAGGTTTCTGTCCGCCTCTTTCGCCAGGACCGTCAACATGTCGTTCCTGTGCACGGTCCCTTTGAACCGTGTGCTCCTGTCGTTGGCGTAGTAAGTAAGGGCGCCGTGATCCAGCACGCACCACCGTTTGTCGTAGTGACGCCCTTTAGGGCCGGCTTTGTTCAAGAAGCCCTGAAGCCTGGTCTGCTCCAGCTGTTCGTTGATGACGTTTTCCGCCTGCCTCCGATCTCCTCCATTCTGGTAAAGGAATTCGGCTGTCAAGCTTTTACCGGTATCTTTGGCGATATCGTAGGCGCCTGTGATGGCGTTACAGTCAGACAGCACGTTCCCGGAAAACATGCATTTCATCACTTCCAGAACGTTGTCATCGCTAAGCGAACTGACAAGCTCAGGGAGAACTTTTGTCGTGGAGAGATCGCAGTACTTCTTCTCTGCGTATTTCTGTTTGATGAAATCATTCCTTTTCTCTGTGGTTCCGGAGTGGTCCGCGTTTGCGCCCGGGGGGAGATTGAACTCCCAGAACGCATTGGCGTTGGCGTTTCCGATTCGGGTCATCATGTTGACCAGGGCCGGCGTCCAGATTTTGGTGTCCATCCGAAGTGACCTGACCTTGGAGAGCCGCTTGTCGAAGTTGCGATGAACGCCGGCGCAGTTCTCGCAGATCACAGTCCCCATGTTTATGACAGCCCACTGGGGGCGCTCGACGCTGCAGTCGGCGCAGATGCGATTGCTGGTGTTCTCGTAGACCTTCTCCAGCACTCGGTCGTCGGCGAGCCTGCGGGCTATGGCGTCCTTCAGCGCCGAGTACCACAGCAGCATGTCCTGGCTGGTGTCGAACGTGAGGTCGAAATGGCTGAGCGGGGTGGACAGTCTGAGTTTCGGTTTTTTGTCGTCCTTGACCTTGACCGAGGCCAGCTCCAGGTCGATCTCATGCTTCGGAAAGCTCAGCTGGTAATCCTCAAACGAGTCGTAATAAACCAGAGTCATGTTGGAGAGGGTCACATACCGCTTGCCTGACGCATTGTTGAGTCTGACGAATCCTTCTTTGTCGGGAATCCCGGTGGCATGGCCTCCGCTCTTCTGATACTGTGCGATTGCCGCGCCAAGACTAAGCGCCCAGCTCACGCAGTCGTCCCTGTTCTCCGAAGAAAACACAAATACCCGGTTCTTTATTGTCGTGTGCAGCATGAAGCGGAAGCGGTTTCTCTCGTCGTCCTTGATCTCCTGCTCGACCTTGACCATGCACCCGAGAGGAATCACGTGTATCGACACGCTCGCGCTGCTGTTCACGAAATAGCGCAGACTGCCTCCGTCGAAGACCACCCAGCGCTTCCGCCATCCCCTGTTGGCGTTGTGCCCGCCTTGTTTAAAGAGGTAGCCGTCTCTGTGGTTTTTTCTTCGCGGTGTCGCCTCGCCTTGTGGAGCCACTGCAGCTGTGCCCAGTCCTTGGCTCCCACACTCATCTCTAAACACGCTGCCCTCGCTGTCACTGTTGCTTGCCTCGCTTGTTGAGCGGTTCGCGCCCACATCTGAAGCCGCCGGGTTTAACGGGGAGACGTCTTTGTGTTTTCTCTCAAAATTTTGCTCCGAAGAACTGGCCACGGCCCCTGAGGATACGACGCCCTCACTCCCGCCACTTGATGTGCTCAGGGAATGGTTGAACGTGTCACAGTCGGACTCAAACGACGTGCTTTGGAATGGATCCTCGGGAGATGAAAAATTGATGAAATCGTAGTTCTCGAACGTTGATCGGGTTTCTGAGCTGACGTCCGCGGCCTCGACAAACTGCTGATGTGCGTGGACTTGTAAACGATGGTGTGGGACTGGGGGAGCGGCGCGGGAAGGCATGAGTTGGGGTGAAACGCCAGGTGTATCTGCCGTTGTGTTGTTTGGGGACAGTAGTGTTGTGTTCTCATTTTCAGACGAGCCGGAAACGTCCGATTCCTTGCGCTTGGTTTCGGGTGGGCTTGGTGAAGTGGTGGTTGACGCCGGCTCTTCCTTGGACACGCCCTTGAGGACCAGTTGCGACCTGCGAGATTTCAAGGGGTCGAATTCTGATAAGTCGATGCAAGCCGCAGTGGCGCCCTTCGCCGCAGTGGCGCCCTTCGTGGTCTTAGACGGCGTCGTTAAAACATTTGGTTTGGGGTACGAGGACATACTTTTTGAGAGACGTTTGGTTTCCAGGGCTTGGGGTTTGAATAGAGACTGGTGAGCCGATTTCGCCCTAAGCCGTGGTTTAGGGACGGGGTGCGGCGCCTGAGTGGTGGTTACAGAAGCCGGTGTCCCAGCTTTGCTTAAAGGTGTCTGACTCGCCGATGAGTGTAAACTAAGAGTATCTGCACTCGAGGCATGGCCAGCTTCCCTTGGGGCAGAGCTTCCTCCCCTTGGAAAATATTCAGACTGGTGACCCACTTTTTTAATTCTCGGAGCCGGTTTTGGGTGTCGATCTGCGTCACCGCCGACCACGCTGGAGTCGTTTGGTGGCGTCAGACTGACTGGAACGTGAGATGATTTTGGTGACGTCAGATTGTCTGGAACGTGAGATGATTTTGGTGACATCAGATTGTCTGGAACGTGAGATGATTTTGGTGACATCAGATTGTCTGGAACGTGAGATGATTTTGGTGACATCAGATTGTCTGGAACGTGAGATGATTTTGGTGACGTCAGATTGTCTGGAAGGTGAGATGATTTTGGTGACGTCAGATTGTCTGGAACGTGAGATGATTTTGGTGACGTCAGATTGTCTGGAAGGTGAGATGATTTTGGTGACGTCAGATTGTCTGGAAGGTGAGATGATTTTGGTGACGTCAGATTGTCTGGAACGTGAGATGATTTAGGTGACGACGTTGCTACGAAGCTGGAGGTCTTGTTTAGATCTTTACCTATGACTATGTCGAGGCGAGTGGCGCCCAAACTAGTCGCGGCTGCGATGCTGCTCATGGCTGTTGGCTGTTCTAGAATGTCAGCTCATGCCCAACAACTGGACTTTGTGGTAAGACTACAAATTCGATTCACATTGAAGCTTTTCACGGGGAAACTTTATTATTTTTTTTGTCCAGTTAGATCAGTTTATTGGATAAAGTTTATCTGAATTGATATGATTCTTCAACTGGTAGGTCAGGTGGTATCTGGAAAGAGAAAAATAGTGTTTTATTAAGACGACCATTGTGGAATGGACATTTATGTTCTCCAAAAATGAATTAAATTGTTGCTGGTAGCAAGAAAGGGTCCGGAAGGGCACAACCATCTTTTATCGAAAGAGTACAACCATCTTTCATCGGAAGGCTATAACCATCTTTCATCGGAAGGCCATAACCATCTTTCATCGGAAGGCCATAACCGTCTTTCATCGGAAGGCCATAACCATCTTTCATCGGAAGGCCATAACCATCTTTCATCGGAAGGCCATAACCATCTTTCATCGGAAGGCCATAACCATCTTTCATCGGAAGGCCATAACCGTCTTTCATCGGAAGGCCATAACCATCTTTCATTGGAAGGCCATAACCATCTTTCATCGGAAGGCCATAACCGTCTTTCATCAGAAGGCCATATCCATCTTTTTCATCGGAAGGCCATAACCATCTTTCATCGGAAGGCCATATCCAACTTTCATCGGAAGGCCATATCCATCTTTCATCGGAAGGCCATAACCCTCTTTCATCAGAAGGCCATAACCATCTTTCATCGGAAGGCCATAACCATCTTTCATCGGAAGGCCATAACCATCTTTCATCGGAAGGCCATAACGATCTTTCATCGGAAGGCCATAACCGTCTTTCATCGGAAGGCCATATCCATCTTTCATTAGAAGGCCATAACCATCTTTCATCGGAAGGCCATAACCGTCTTTCATCAGAAGGCCATATCCATCTTTCATCGGAAGGCCATAATCCTCTTTCATCAGAAGGCCATAACCGTCTTTTTATCGGAATGCAATCAGGATAACGAGCTCTATACTAAATAATGTCACACCAATGAGAGCAATATTTGAGGAGACCAATTAATCGGTCATACCCCGCTCATTAGATCCAATTCATTAAATCAATTTAACCTTGGCTCTTTTTTTTGTATGTTATAATAAAACTTTGACTAGAAGCGACTATCAAAATTAAAAAAAACCACAAAACAAACAAACAAACAAACGTGTTAAGCACACAAAATTATTTCTTTTTATAAGGCCACGAAGACGTGCAAAGTCTGACGTCTTCAATTTTCCGCCATACGCCCTCAAAAAAAAAAAAAAAATTTAAAATTAGAGCAATAACGTTTGGGTGGGGCAAGGTGGACCTCGGACTCAAACAGATTGTTTTTTTAGATTGAGATTGTGGAGGCAGTGGGAGGCATGATTTTTTGTGGGATCCGACACACATCACGTTCTCATCAATGGTGGAACAGCTGCAGGTGATGGTGGCGATGATGTTTTTCTTCTATTCAATCGTCTCAGCCTCGTATTCATTTGATCTAATTTTGTAAAAGACAATCACTGCTAGCCTTGAACCCCCCCCCCTTTTTCGAAGTGTTTTCCCTTGAAAATGAAAGTTTACATGGTCGAACATTGGAGTATTATAATCCCTGTTTCGGTTTCCATCTACATAAGAATATAAATATTGCCAAACTATATACATTGTGTGTGTGTATATATATATGTGTGTTTATATATATATATATATATATATGTATATATATATATATATATATATATATATATATATATATATATATATATATATATATATATATATATATATAATGCTAATTAAAAACTATTTGTACAAAAAAGTAACTGGGTAATGCAAAGAAACGAATTCATGAAGGCAGTGGCGTAGGTAGGAAGGGGTGAGAAGGGGGGAGTGGGACTTGAATAGAGACTGGTGGCCCCGGGCGGCATCTTTTTATTTATAAGGAGGGGTGGCATTTTTTATAGGTTTTTCTTTTCTTTTTTTATTTTGTGGAAGAGGGAGGTTAAAATCTTACACCCCCCCCCTACTAGGTGGCACTAACTCTACGTACGCCACTGCGTGAAATGTTAAAGGGATATAGGCCCCCCAAAAAATAGTAAAACAGCATCAAATTTGAATTTTTACAAGACGTGAGGATTTCGAGCGCGTCATGAGAAAGCTTGAACTATGAAACAAATTTATGAACACAGACGATGAGTCTGAAAGCCTTGATTCGCGGAGACGTGAGCAGAACAAACGCCTGGAGATAAGATCTGGTCGTCCAATAAATGCAGGAAGGAATACATTTTTTGAAAATTTTACAAGAGTTCTGCAAATCCCATCCATCCATCCTTGTGGCGCTACTGCCCGTGTAGGACTATGCCCTGCCTCACCACTTCCTTCCACTCGGATTAAACTGATGAGTATTCTTTTCCATGCTTGGATTCCCAGTTGTAGATTCTTTTTTTTTTCTACAACATCTGCGGATTGTGGTGGTGCACCGTTTTCACTCCTCTCTCATTTCGGCATTCTTTCTAAGTGCCCCGCCCAGAGCATCGCATACAATTAAAAGTTTGGCCTGTTCACAAGACATAAATGATAAGCGCACGGTTCTACACAAGTCCTTTCACCCGAACTGGAGACGCATGAAGCGCATCGAAAATGCCACCACCAAAAATATGACTCCCTGGGTGGATTGACTTCCTCTTCAGAAGCTATGGCCAAACCTAATTTTTTTTTTCTTTAATAATTTTATTCGCAGCCTGTTGATTTTATTTCTTAAAGGTAGGAAGTTTCTTTGGATAGCTCATATCAAATCACATTACTAAAGTAGTCCGATGTTTTCTCCCCCACTTCCCTCTAGCCTTACAATAATGTCCGCATCCGGCATTGAAGGTGAATTTCGATCCTACGACTCTGTTCTACGACCTGGAACCGAGCGAGTTCCAGGTGGGCGTAAGCTATGATAATACCACGTCTCGGTGTTTTCTTTGCGTAAAAACTGTGTCCCTTTTAATGGGATCGCTCGTATTACGGACGTGGACAATTTTGATTGATACGGGAGGGAACCACATTCGGAAATGTGCGGGTGTGGGATTATTTTTTTTTTAATAAAAATTTTTAAATGAAAAACATATGTAGGCCTATATCGATTACTAGACTGGCTTAGAGCAGGGGCGGGCAAACTATCGTACGCGGGGGGCATGCGCATGATATTTGGCGACCCTCGAAGGCATTATGAAATAAAAATTACTTTGTATTTAAGTTATTTTGTTGAGGTTTACAGAATTTCGTGTACCGTTATGATTGTTTTAACATTTTTGATCAAATTTATTTCTCGTTTTATATTTTTTTGTTTAAAACAGTGCCTGACTTTTGTCATGTCATGCTACAATGCGGATTAACCGGATTGTGATACAGGGAAATATTTATCGACATGTAAACATTGGGCATAATATATGCGGCCCCCCCCCTATAGCTTTACATTGGTTAATGTGGCCATCCGGCCCCCAAAAGCTTTACATTGGTCAATGTGGCCCTCTGGCCCCCCAATAGCTTTACACTGGTCAATGTGGCCCTCCGGCCCCCCAATAGCTTTACACTGGTCAATGTGGCCCTCCGGCCCCCCATAGCTTTACATTGGTTAATGTGGCCCTCCGGCCCCCCATAGCTTTACACTGGCTAATGTGGCCCTCTGGCCCTCCAATAGCTTTACATTGGTCAATGTGGCCCTCCGGCCCCCCAATAGCTTTACACTGGCTAATGTGGCCCTCTGGCCCTCCAATAGCTTTACATTGGTCAATGTGGCCCTCCGGCCCCCCAATAGCTTTACACTGGTCAATGTGGCCCTCCAGCCCCCCAATAGCTTTACACTGGCCAATGTGGCCCTCCGGCCCCTTAATAGCTTTACATTGGACAATGTGGCCCTCCGGCCCCCCATAGCTTTACATTGGTTAATGTGGCCCTCCGGCCCCCCATAGCTTTACACTGGTCAATGTGGCCCTCCGGCCCCTTAATAGCTTTACATTGGTCAATGTGGCCCTCCGGCCCCCCAATAGCTTTACACTGGCCAATTTGGCCCTCCGGCCCCTTAATAGCTTTACATTGGTCAATGTGGCCCTTCGGCCCCCCAATAGCTTTACATTGGTCAATGTGGCCCTCCGGCCCCCCATAGCTTTACATTGGTCAATGTGGCCCTCCGGCCCCCCATAGCTTTACATTGGTTAATGTGGCCCTCCGGCCCCCCAATAGCTTTACACTGGCCAATTTGGCCCTCCGGCCCCTTAATAGCTTTACATTGGTCAATGTGGCCCTCCTGCCCCCCAATAGCTTTACATTGGTCAATGTGGCCCTCCGGCCCCCCATAGCTTTACATTGGTTAATGTGGCCCTCCGGCCCCCCAATAGCTTTACATTGGTCAATGTGGCCCTCCGGCCCCCCAATAGCTTTACATTGGTCAATGTGGCCCTCCGGCCCCCCAATAGCTTTACATTGGTCAATGTGGCCCTCCGGCCCCCCAATAGCTTTACATTGGTCAATGTGGCCCTCCGGCCCCCCAATAGCTTTACATTGGTCAATGTGGCCCTCCGGCCCCCCAATAGCTTTACATTGGTCAATGTGGCCCTCCGGCCCCCCAATAGCTTTACATTGGTCAATGTGGCCCTCCGGCCCCCCA